CTAATGTTTGGAAATCCAGTCTCCTTTTCTGTCTCCCTAGGTACGTGTAGATAAAATTACACACACACTCACACGCACAGTGTCCTATAATGTTGCTTTCCCCCTTCAATACTGGCTTTCTTTTTATTTAAACATATGCAGTTTCTTCTTTTAGACACAAGCTAGTATTCTGTTTTCGTGCCATCATGAATCCAGTCTCCATTGATCCATATTCGGATTGTTCACTAGGATTCCCTGGGTTGAAAGTGGGAAAACTCCCAACTCCAGCTAGTCTGAGCTGAAGGGGGAATGAATTAGTGCCCTGATGCAGCACAGCAACTAGGCACATGGGTTCAAAATCAGATGTCTGCATTCATTGATCACGTTACTCACCTGTAAGTGAGAATATAAATAAGTTAATACACCTAAGGTGCTTAGAACACTTGAAATGTTGGCTTTATTATAGAAAACCATCCCTTTTTTTTTTTTTACAACTTTTTTTCTTTCTTTCTTTATTTTTCTTTTCCTTCTTTTCTTTCTTTTTTTTAATTTGTTCTTCTTTTTTTTTTTTTTGAGACAGGGCTCTTCACGTTTTGTTTGCTCTGGCTAAAGTGCCGTGGCATCAGCTAAGCTCACAGCAACCTCAAACTCCTGGGTCAAAGGATCCTCCTGCCTCATCCCAAGTAAACTGGAAACTAAGCATCCACCATCGCCAGCTTATTTTCCTCCTATATATGTTTAGTTGGCATTAATTTTTTCTATTTTCAGTAGACACCGGGGTCTCCTGCTCAGGCTGGTTCGAACTTCTGACCCTTGAGCGAGTCCTCCCACCATGGCCTCTTAGAGTCTAGATTAGGCATGAGCCACTGCACCCAGCCTGGACATACCATAATTATTCAGTTCTATCCTGGTGGACATTTACTTCTCATTTTTCACTATTACAAATAATGTAATAGCATTTTTGTACACATACCCTTCTTTCTTTTTTTTTTGAGACAGAGTCTTGCTCTGTGGCCTGGGCTACAGTTCCGTTGGCACACCCAGCTCAACTCACAGCAAACCTCCAACTCCTGGCTTCAAGCCGATCCTTCCTGCCCTAAAGCCTCCGAGGTAGCCGGGACACAGGCATGTGCTAGCAGCCTGGGCTAATTTTTCTATTGTAAAAAAATCAACTTTTGGGCCTGGTGCTGTGGCTCACACCTGTATTCCTAGCTCTCTGGGAGGCCGAGGAGGGAGGATTGCTTGAGGTCAGGAGTTTGAAACCAGCCTAAGCAAGAGTGAGACCTCGTCTCTAATAAAAATAGAAAGAAAGTAATTGGCCAGCTAAAAATATATAGAAAAATTAACCAGGCATGGTGGCGCATGCCTGTAATCCCAGCTACTAGGGAGGCTGAGGCAGGAGGATGGCTTGAGCCCAGGAGTTGGAGGTTGCTGTGAGTTAGGCTGGTGCCACGGGCACTATAGCCCAGGCCACAGAGCAAGACTCTGTCTCA